AGGGAAAGTCAGACAAAACTAGTAATCATAATGATTTAAATAATCTAAGATTGATCAAATAAGTAGATAATATTCTTATTAAGACACATTTACACTCGCACACATGCAACCACGCCCATCAAAAGAACCCAATTATTTATCAGACACAAGTTTTATCTGGTCCAGTGGCCTGCATGTCACCAAGGCATACATAGGAAAGGAGTGCAATGGTCTTTCATGGTGTGATCTTTAGAAAGTTAAGTAGATACCTTCAATATGTCTATTTTGGAAACTTTTATTTGTGGATTTTTCTAAACTCTTTTAAATCTGGTCATAATTTTGAGCTGTTGTAAGGTTTGCAGCCTCAACTCATCTGGTTGAGTGACTGCTCTGAGGTTCGGTGGCCTCTCCCTGTGCCTTCTCCTTATTCTTCATCAGCTTTGTTCTCAGTGGGCCCCATGTCACCAAACAAGGGAGCCTGACCACTGAGTCCAGCCTCCAGGGGAATTGCTCCTCCATTTTATTGGCCCCTCTGTGAGACTATTAATAACGTGAACAGAAAAGCTAAGCTTCATGTTCTCAGTGTGTCTTAGGATAACAGGATCCTAAGGCCTTGTGTGCTTATTTTATATGTGAAATTATTTTGGTTTCCTGAAACCTTCCTGTTGGTGGGCAGCATTTTGGCTTAAGCAGTACACTTTTATCTTCAATAGCAAAAAACCTTTAAGCCCAAGACATTTTCCCTTTGACTTACATCTAATGTCTCAAACTATATCTTGTGAAAGGGTAGTATAGATGATTTTTTCCTTGCACTTGCTCAAACAGATGTCCACTTGACACTTGTTTGCCCCTTCACCGAGGCAATATCCACTTTGGTGTTTATTTAATACCACTTTGGAGCACCTACTATGTGTTGACATTGTGCCACGTGCTGGGAATACAAAGATGCATAAGACACCATCCTTAACGAGCTCTCACATTCATGAAAAATAGATGGATCCATAAACTAAAATACTAAATAAAATTTACTGTGGACAGTGCCCTTGTGGAAGTGTGTGGGGATGCTTTGGGGAAGAGAGAAGGGAGAGAGAGACTAACTCTGCCTAAATAGAGGTCGTGTCATTGGGGTGAGTGCTGCTGTCTGAAGGATGAAGTGGAAAGATTCCCAAGGAGGAAAGGGTAGCTGGTGGACATGGGGCCTGGAAAGAAGCACTCCCAGCAGAAGTGACAATGTGTGCAAAGAGCTCCTCGTGATCAGAGACTGAAAATAAAGAAAAAGAAAATAATAAATTCTCACCACCCTATACAAAAAGCTTCATCTTATCACAAACTAGAAAATTGTACGCTGCACTTCTCTGTCAGATCATTAAAACATGTCAAATAAGCACAAAGGACACTTGCACAGATGCCTACTGTGAGCCAGGTGCTATTGTAAGGTCTGGAAACAAAACAAAACCCCTGCTGGCATAGAACTTGCAGCCCAGTTGAAGGTGGAGGAGGGAGGGATGGAAATGAAATAAACACAATATAGGATGTTCTGCTGTGATCAGTGCCAGGAAGTCTACAGCCAACAAATGGGCGCACAGTGACAGTGTCCGAGAAGGGGCAGCTTTACGGAAGGGCCAGATGGCCCTGCAGCACCTTCTTGCATTCAAGCATTGCATGCAATGAGGAGCCATACTGTGGTTTGACTCTGAGTTTCGAAAAACTTGGGGAATTGTGTGAGGCATTGTCCTTTACTTCGTTCTTGCCTTACCTGACACTATTCTCTCTGCTGTTTCAGTGTGTTCATGTTTATGTACCCTCCGAGGTCCCGCTCAAACTTCACCCCACCCATAAAGCCCTCTCTGATTCCTACCTCTGCAAATAAGCTTTCTCAGCTTGGAACTTCCTTGTACTTTACCTGAGCCTCCTTTATAACACTGACCACTTCCTACCTGTGAGTGTAGGAAGGCATCTAATTTGTTCCTCTAGCTCTGCATGTGTCAGGTCCACAGCTGTTTCTTAATTTCCTCATCAGCACTGTGCATTGTATACTGTGTGCCTCCAAATATTTGCTTAATAAAAATATACAACATCAAGTTGAAAATTAAATCTTAAATATACTGTTTCAGGACTTTTTACCAATTTAATACCTTTGATCTGGAAGCTTCAAAGGATGCTTTGATATGCAAATACAGTAAATCAATGCATAATTCCCCAATGAGCTTGCTTTCTCTGTCCCACAGGGTTATGCAAGACATTAAAAAGGCTTTATATTTTTTGCTGATTGATCATTCTGATCAAGATATTTCCATGATTGATGATCATAATTGAGACTTCTATCCTCTCTTCCCTTATTTCCTTGTCTTCTTCCCTTTTCCTTTCTTTTGTTTGTCTTTCTCAACTCCCTGTCTTTTGTTCCCCCTGCTTCTCCCTATCTCTCTTCTCCTCTCCTTCCAACATCCATCTGTTCTCTCTTCTCTCTCTTTTTTTTCATTTCTTTCCAATTTTTTCTGTTTCTCTTTTCCTCCTTTCCTCTCCTTCCCTTTCTTCTGCCAATATGTTCTCATCTTTCAACCCTGTCCGCGGTGCTGAACTTTAAATAAAGAAATTTGTAATAGGCCCGTTGGGCTGCCTTATGTTCTAGAAAAACTCTGCAAACAAAATATAGCTGATTGTAGTAGACTAACTTCCTGTTATGTAAAAATCAACAACATTGACAAGGGTACATATTAACCATTTTGCATGTTGTGTTGTTTCCTCAATATTACATTCTAGTTAAAAATAAGTGGACTTAGAGAAGAATTCCTTTATTAGCAAGAGTTTTGGGTTTTCCATAATTTATTTTTCCAAGTAAAAATATTTGGAATATTTGGATGCTTCAGGTCTATCTTTTCTTGATAACATATATCATCCCCTACTGAATAGGCCAATATTTACCAAATGCATGATAGGTTTTATAAACTATTTTTGATCATTTATTTGATTTTTCTTTATCTTTGCTGTAGGAAAATAAATGAGATAAATGAGCTAAAGGCCACAATTAGCCGGTACAGATCTGATGACAGTTTGGACAGGTAAGGCATTTTGAACTGTGTAAGCAAATGCATGCCACATATAAAATCCCATTTCCTATAAAGCATGGTGTATTTAAATGTTTACCAAGACAAACTTTGAACCATGAAATTTTATATGCAGGCACAGAAGGGCAATAAGAATTGAATTTTCTTCTTCAAAACTCAAAATCTTGACTCAACAACACTATTTTCCTAAAATCCTGCTAATAGTAAATTGATAGAAAAAAATTGAAGAAACTGTTTGAGTATAGGTAGGGTATAGGCATTGTGTGGAATCTGTTCAATTTCAAATGAATATAGTTATTTTTCGTGAATATGAGTTGTCATTTCTTATTCCAATTTTTGGTCTTTCCAACCCAATGGTGGAGAAACAAAAATAGTTTCTATATCACTAGTTTATGGAGAGAGTGCAAATTTTAATAACATGATAGTTTTGATCCACTATAGGATAAAGACATTAGCTCTTTACTTTAGAAAGGGAAATGATTTTTTTCAGCCCTGGTGTCACCACACGACTTATAGAATGAGTACATTATTGTGCCTGTTGTTAGGAAAAGGCTCGTCTCCATAGAGAAAGTTCAGAAATGTATTCTCAGGTTGAAGTGTAAATTCTACAAATCACGTTTAAATTTTATATTTGGTAGAGATGCATAGTAAGCAAAAGTAAAGAGCATAGTTAACATCTTTAATTGGAGTCTAGACACAATGGACACCTGCAGCCATGATAATTGAGGTCACTCCCTGTAGCTTCAGATGTGCGATTATTGTAGACAAAAATGCTGTCTGCCGCATTTAAAGCAGATGTGCTGAAACCTATAGTATCACATTTGTTCGACATTCAGGCTATGCCAGTGTTAATTGACATAACAAATGTATATACTTTACTCACAGGTTTTCAAAGTCAGTTACCTAAAGAAGGACTGTCAACACTGGTATCTCTAACGAGCTGACACCCTCTCTTATAATTACAGCCTTAACAAAGATGAGTTTGTAGAAGTATATATGCTAGATCTCATCTCCACAGCACTGAGTGGAGAGAGGAGTCAAAATGCCTCTGTCCACTCACCCTGGCCTTCCTGGTGTCCTATTGTGCCCTAACGTTAAATTAGAAGAAGAAAATGCTATTTCTAGGAATGAATTTGAAAGTAAGATAATTATGCCTCAAGAAAGGTAACTATGTAGGAGACCTAAGCCTTTGTAGGCTCTGTGTCTGAAAATTTATCAGGCCAGTCGGTATAGAGCCGGAAGCATTAGCCAGACCAGACTAGACCACACAGGCAAACTAGCTAAGCCACCGTCAGCTCAGCTGCATGTTAGAATTACTGAAAGGGCTTTTAACTGTCACTGTTAACTTGTTTCCATCACCTCTTATCCCAACATTTCAGATTTAATTCATCTGAAATGGGACCCAGGCATTTTTTTTTAAGTTTATAAAGTGATTTTGATGTGCAGCCAAAATTCAGAACCACCAATATAGCCCCAAACCTTAATTTTATACATAAAATATGAAGTCAGAGATCACCTACTTTATTTATGCAGAACTTTAGTAGCATGATTGGGATAAATATCCTGGTAAACCCGTTTCCCAGGCAGTCATGTCTCCCAATAGTAATCTATATGTCTCAGAGTGTGGAAATAAATGTATGAGAGAGGACACAGGGATCAGTATAGAAAGCCAAGTGCCGTTAGAAGGAGTTTGGTCCCATAATGCAGGCCTCTCCTAATGCAGGATATGGAATAATTTTAGTAGGAAGATGATAAAATATATATGGTGTATGGGTATATGTGCATTTCAATAAAAATGAATTTAGTTTAAATGAAATGATAAAAGTACTGAGTTTACATTTGAAAAGTTCCCTTAAAAATATACATGTTTAGTTTTAAAATATGAGATATTATAAAGAAACATAAGTAAATAATAGTGTATGTAGCATGTTCTATGACACAAGTCCTGACAGTGGTTTAATGATAAAGTTGGAAAAATCTAGGTTAGGGCGACCTCTAGTGTTTTATTGTGGAAATTACCCCCCCAAGTAATGTTAATAGCATTGTGTGTTTTCTATCTCCAACATTGATTCCTTTTAAATAACCTATTTCATATCACAAGTTTGCAAAAACTTAATTTCCCAGAGAAGCACAAAGTAATCTCTGTAAGTAATAAGACATTGGAATATACTATATTGGAATGGTGGTTTAGAGTTCTCCCCATGATTATTCATAGACTGGAAGAGATAGTGGAGGTGAAGAATAATAACTGAAGGAAGATATGAGTTTTGGAACAATCCACAACAGAATCAGATGTGTGATGACCTGGGGCCCTACCAGACAGAGTTTGGAGATAGACTACTTCCTGGTTGTGTGGCCAAGAGAATGTCACCCACCTTCTCTGAGATTCCATTTCTCATTTATAAAATGAAAATAATTACACCTGTATTATAGGGATGTTCTGAAGAGTAAAGAAAAATGTATAAGATGAGAAGTAAAGAGTAATAGGTAGCCATTTGTATTATTACATGCTGTATTGCCTTCTTAGACTTACATTGTAGAATTTTTATTAAATTCATTTAATGTCAGAACTCACCTTCACTTAAACCTCAAAAGCGTTTGGTATTGAAGTTCTGTTTGCTTTAGACTGGTTGTTGCTTTCAGTGTTCCACAGTAGCAATTTCCCAAGATGATTTTTACTTTATTTGAAGACCTCATAAGCAGCTATAAAGTCTGAGTAGAATTTCCTAGGGGCATTTAGGATTATCTGACACCTTACATATGGTATTCACAGTGGTTTACTGCAGTCCTTTACACAGAAACATCTTGGAGTCTCAGTAGCAGTTAGTGCAGGGGACATATTCCTAGTCTTTGCTTGATGGTCCCCTTAGTTAGGAGATTTTTATAATGGACTCGAGGATTCTGTATAAGCTAATGGCTGTATTGTGAACAGTCTGTTGAGAATATGGAGCTCTGGAGGATTCCAATCTTCCTTCCCTTTTACATTTAAGAGTTATCAGTTTGTGGCATCCTATATAATAAAAGCCTATTATGCTAAGTGTTTAGTTGTCTGGTCATCTGGTTGTCCATTCAACCAATCAAAGTATAATATGCTAATTATATGCTAAGGCCACTTAACTGCTTGCTATGACGTGCACTGACTACCAGGGAGCATACACTCTGACTAGTAGATTAGCTTGCTGCTGGGCTCTGGCTGAGACAAGGTGGACACACCCTGGGGACCTCCCATGGTCCCTCCCTGGCTGGCCAACCTCCTGTGTCCCTTCCCGGACCCAATCGTGCACTGGTAGGGTCTCTTGGCCTGGCCTGCACCCTCTCGCAATCCAGGACCCCTCGGGGACATCAGAGAGCCAGTTTCAGCCCGATCTCACAGGCTAGGCCAGGGGTGGGCAAACTTTTTGACTCGAGGGCGACAATGGGTTCTTAAACTGGACCGGAGGGCCGGAATAAAAGCATGGATGGAGTGTTTGTGTGAACTAATATAAATTCAAAGTAAACATCATTACATAAAAGGGTACGGTCTTGTTTTTTTTTAGTTTTATTCATTTCAAACGGGCTGGATCCGGCCCACAGGCCGTAGTTTGCCCATGGCTGGGCTAGGCAGAGGGACTCCACTGGTGCATGAATTCGTGCACCAGGTCTCTAGTTATTTACCATAAACAGAAACTGTGTTTGGGCCTGACTCATAAAATTTTAATGTATTTACCCAATATTTTAGTTATACATGTCAAAATGACATCTAGGAATTTAAATTCTTTTAAATGAATGACAATTGAGTCATGTAAATTTTTGTAAGAGTGAGGCATTGTGTCTATCTTCCCAGAAATGGTTTATATAAAGCCCTGTATTAAAATTGTTGGTAAAAGTGAAAGTTTAGAGATAGTCATAGTAGACCCATAGTGTGGGATCAGTAGAAGAGTCTCACTGGCCTTCTGTTTTCCTGAACCTAATTTTGTTCCTTCCTAGTTTTGTGCAAGTCTGCAGAATGTTCCAGAAGATAGCCCATACCTCAGGAAGAGTCTGGTGTGAGGGAAGGAAGGGATGAAACAGGGGCTACAACCATGAGATCCCACCATGGGCATGGAGATCCAGGGTTTCTAATTTGTCTTTTTTGACCCAAGGGACAGACAAACACACCCTATCTAGACCCATCCTCCTTGAGGAGAGCTGAGAGTAGAGGGATTAAACCCGCTGATGGCCAGTAGGCCCTATTAATGAAAAGTCAAAGTAAATTAATTCACCAGGGTAATGTAACTCTTTTAATAAGTTCCTTCTCTCACACCCAGATCTCTGTGGTTTAGCACAATATATTACTGCTTACTCTCATCAGGGTCCAGTGTGATTGGCTGGAAGAATAGGGGACTTGCCCATGAAGTGACTCAGGGACCCATGTTCTTTCCATGATTTAACGCTGCCACCTTTAATCCATGGGTACCTAGCTATAATGGAAGGAGAATAAGGAGCATAGGTATCATGCAAGAGGTTTTAGGATGTGTCTGGAAGTGGCAAACAAGATTTTTGCCTCCATTCTTCAGTCCAGAACTCAATCACATGGTACCAACTAATGAAGACTGGGAAATGTTGCCTTCCTGTGTGCTCAGAGGAAAATAAAATGAGTTTGTCTGTGCCACAAAACATTTAAAAAATACTTCTCTTCCTTTGATATACTTTACCAACATAGAAAGTACTGTCATTGTCTATGTGTATTATTAAGCAATAATGGATATAAAATAGTTAATGAGTTAAATGCTCAATGATTCAGCAAGGCTAATTGAAAAGCATGAACTTTAAAAATTCCAAACTCTATCAAAATTACCTCATAAATAGATTTTTGCCATAAGTAGCTTCTTAATTGTAAAAATTTTCTAAATGTAACACCTGAAAAATATTTTTTTTTACTGGAGAAAGGTTATGTCATGAGTTATTCTAGCATAAAAAAAGTCTAAAAGGAGTTTAATAATGTAATGTTCATCCAATCTTTTGTCTTGTGTCTTCATAAAGGATCTCAGACAGACATGATGCTGCTAAAACATATAAGGCCAAAACCTTGGATAACCAACTAACCAATAGGTACCAGTATCTACTAATTTTGGGAAAGGCTCAAGTTCAATATATTCTAAGCATGACTTATTTACTTACAATTCTTCAACCCTACTTAATATCTTTCTGTAAATTCTTATCCTCTATGTTTTTTTTTAACACAAAAAGTCTGGAGTAAAAACCTTTATTCCTTCTCATGGTTAGAGAAATGTAAAATCTTGTTTCCTGACTTCAAGTTCAAGAGAGATCATTGCTTCAGGCCATCATTCTTACCACATTTATGCTTCTGTTTAAATGATCCTGATGGAAAGATTAGGAAATACATGCAAATGTCAATTTTTAAATTCTTATTGCTAAACAACATTACTGAAAAAATACTTTTCTGAAAGAAAAAAATTTCCTTTGCAATCTAGTACAAGATAGTAAAAGATTATAAAATTACATTATCAAATTTACTCAAATTCTGATGCTTTCCTTTTCTTTCTCTCAGATAATCTCTAACCCTTAACAATCATAATTTAAAATGCATGGACAATGTCAAACAGATGCAAGCATGTATTAATTCTTCGTTGCTGCTCAAACTTTTGCCTTTTTTTTCCTTACTAGAAATATGTCCGCATTTAGATCACCAGAAGCAACAAAAATGTATGTACTTTTCTAATTGAAGTTACATTTTCAGAATACAATGTATTTCTTTATATGTGTTTAAACAACAATGACAACAAAAATACAGGACATACTGACATCAGGCCAAAGTTTAATTGTAATATAATTGCTTAGGCAGAGGGAAATTGTAGAAACACTGAAATGGTCTGCAAAGCTTCAAATATTTACTATGTGGACTTTAACAAAAAAGGTTTGCTGAGCTCTGCTCTTAACCAAATACAAAAGCTTAACTATTTTTTTCTTTTTTAAAATCTAGATTTTTTTTGTTTGTTTTGTCCCCACAGAACCATCTTATTTTTTCTTACTCCCATGCAGTTA